ATTCAGAAATAAGGTCTATGGTCATATACCACGAGCCGAATATGATGACCCCACATTTGAGACATTGTGGAAAGAAATTTCGAAACCTTTGGTCATGTAAGGAATTCCTCAACAAGAAATTGATGAATTAAAAAAGATTCCTCTCAGTCCTGAAGAGAAAAGTTATATTGAGAAATTGAAGGAATGGAAAGAACTAGAAGATGTTCTTTTGGAAAAAATAAAAGATGTTGAAGCAAAAGTTAGTAAAGTGGAAGACGAAGTTGTCAGTATCAAAGACGAAGTTGTGAAGCAAGGAGAGTTTCTGCGTCCATCAAAAGTCGAGCAGCTTGCCAAGTTTGACTTGAGTGGGAAGATAAATGGCCTGCGTGAAAAGTTTCAAGATGGCACAAGAAAATGGTTTTTCAATAAACTGTCAAATTGGTTTAGTGATAAAAATCGAGAATCTAGAGCGATGATACTGACTGCAGGTCCTGGCGTTGGAAAGAGTGTTTTGTCAGCAAAGGTTTGTGAGCTGTATAAGCAACATGGTTAGAAAAGTTAAAAGTAAAAGAGTTAAACGAAATTGACTTGGGAATTGAGCCCGACCTAAATGACTATGTCCCCAAAGGGATTTCCGGATTTTACGAAAAACAGTTTAAACGTCTGCAAACAGGCTTCCAAAGTTTTAAGCAAGGTGGCTTAAAGAGTTTTATAAATGCTGTTGCTGCATCTAAGGAGCCCCTTCTTATTGAGATTCTCTTACGATGCATGGATTTGTCAGATGCGAAGTATGAATTACGTAAAGCAATTAGTGATATAATGTCTGAAATTCTCCCAGTTTACAACGATTGTCGTTAATAGATTGGATGGTCTTAGATGGGTATCAGGAGCATGCGTTTGTTGCTGATGTTCCAGACGGAATTGAACTTATCTGGCGCGCTTGTAAGAGCGTATATAGTGATATAGATTCATTGGAATCGGTTGTCGCTTTTAAGTTGTCCCCCGTAAAAAAGTTTGCCTTTGAGAATTTTTTGGAATATTTGTTGAATGTTGGGAAGCGGGACGATTTTGACTGGTTGGTAAATATTGGGTTAAATATTTTCAAACTAAAATTTTATGGCAACCCGACGGATAATTTCATCCATATTCTCAGGAATTATAATGATCTATCTACTAATCTTTCTTTGAGGATTATTCAGCTTAAAGCTGTGAAAACGATTATTCGACGCAATTCCAGTTACATTCAAAAGTGGAAACAGATCTGTAACGATGACAAAAGTCACGAGACAATGCCAATATCATGTTACATTTACTTGCAATTCCTTGCCAACGGTTATTTTGATTTTTCAAAAGGCGTAGGATGTAAAGAGAAAGCTAGAAATATCTTAGATAAAACAAATTACATTTGGATAGAAGAAGTAACAAAGGTAGGCAATTCTAACTCTAAAATTATT